TGTTGAGCAAGGGTTGGGTGTGAGTGCTCAATATATTATGAATCAATTTGCAAGATCTCAGCAATGGTGGATAATATGCATGCATCAATTATATTTCTTACTGGAATTAGATGTAGATATAGGAGTCACGTAATGTTCAACATATATATAATTGAAGTTGATCATTTTCATCGTTTCTATTCAAATGTTTGACTTTATGGGTGATGACTGCGCATCTACAAATAAAATAATATGAATGGGTATTTAAGGTTCGAAAATATATCACATAATCCGAGGATTCCTTTTCTAAATCCTAAATCTTTTTCTAACTATCTTCCTCGCTTCCTCAAACTATTTCTTTCTCTCTCTGTGTCCGTTTTTCTCAAGCTATTCCTTCTTATCTCTCTCTCTTTACCTCATACACTATACCTCTTTCTCTCTCTCTTTCTCACACTCTTCCTGTCTCTCTCTCTCTCTCTCTCTCTCTCTCTCTCTCTCTGTCTGTCCGTCTCACTCACTCTCTTCCTCATCCATTCATTCACTCATTATCTCGCTCTCTCTTTTGCTAGGGGAAGATCTGTCACTCTCGCTTTCTCACACTCTTCAATTTGTGTATCTCCCTGGCTTTTCCTACTCCTCTCACTCTCTGTCACTCTCTCTCACTGAAACATTCTGAATACAATTGGTAAACGTAATTACATTTATTGCAAAACAAAGCTTTTTACATAGGCGGAAGGGCTGCCGAAGGGACAGTCGGCTCGATAATGGACGCTGGGCAGTTAGGCGCTTGGCTGGTCAGCACAGAGGTGTGCGTGTGTGTGTGTGTGTGTGTGTTGTGGACAGACAGATGTGGATGTGGATATGTTTGATATGCTGTCGACACGCATCGCTGAGCATGCAACGCCGGCAACTTTGACAGCAGCAATGGTGCGACAAGAACGACAGCAATGTGGAGCAAGCAAATATGCGACACAGGTGCGGGGGTGGCGGGGCAGTGGGGAGTGAAACCAGGCACCAGGTAATTGCCACAATTTGCTCGTTGCGTGAATGGACAACAGAACGGAGCGAACAAATGGAAAGGGTGCAAAAGGACGACAACTTCCGTCAATGTTTTGCCCCCGAGCATTGGCAGGAGCACAGGTGCAGGAGCAGGGGGCAGCTAGCAGGAGCCGGCTTTGTGACAGGTTTTATGTATTTCTCTTTTTTTTTTGTTCTCTCCATATTCATTCGTTTTGCGTGTTGCTGTTGTTGTTGTTGTTGCTCGCTCCTGCAACGCCTTCTGTCATATTTGAGGTGCGCATAAAGGCACTCAACGCCGCCATAAATCAACTGCCAACTGCACTTCTGATCTAAGGCTGTCGCCGCACCGTCGCACCGTCGCACCGCCGCACCACCATCGGCAGCGTAACCAGCGAACCGCCAAAGCGGCCAACAACGACAACTCTTTAGGCCATAACTTTTACAGACGACAAAGCAGACGATTGATGTGCGCACCCGGGGTTTCACCTGAGCTTCGAGCTGGCAAACTCACCGCTCACCCCACACCCCTCGCTCCTTTCGGCCCTGCGTGGCTGGCCCCTTGGCTTGCTCTTATGTCTAGACTGCAGACGTTGTCTGTCGCGGCTGCCGCGCAGCAACAGGAAACAGACAGCCGACAACTGTGACAGCTCGAAGCAGAGCAGAGCAAAGCTAAGCAACTGCAACAGTGGCAAAAGCAGCAGCAGCAGCAGCAACAACAATGACAACAACAGCAGCAGCAAACATTTTACCTGTGTCCAGTGTGTCTCAAATGAGCCAACAATTCTCAGCTGTCAATAATGTCTGTCATTGTGGCTGAATGCGTTCGAAAAGCCAGTGCTGGCAGCGTGTCGTGCGTGACACGAAAGAAGGTCGCTGCATAGAAAGTCACAGGGAAAATTTAAGGCTAATTTCTGAATATATCAGAAACATATTTATTTATGTATATCCAAGACTCACGCACGAGGCACGTCCATCTCTAGTGTAAAACTAAATTGCATGGCTAACTAGGTTTAATCTCTAGTGCCGCGACTGCTCCTAAATGGTTGCCAAATGCATTTGCTTCAAAGCCTCAAAGTTAAGTCCTTGGACTCAGGCGGCAAAAGTTCTAATCCTTTCGAAATTGAGTTGTAAAATGACAACGATGTAGGGAATAACTCTATGTTTGTGTGTGTGAGTGTTAAGCAATCCCTGCAATGCAATGCACATGTTGGGCACTCTAAAAAGTCGCCAGACCTTCCAGAGGGACAGTCAAAAGGGAAGGCGTGGCAGCGGAGGCCATTTGGCGTTCCGCTTAATTATTCAAAACCATGTCATGTCTCTGTATAATTTTATGCATTGGCCAATGCGAGCGCCAGCTCGTGATGATGATGATGATGATGATGATGGTGATGATGACGAGGGGCTGACGCCTACACAGTCAGACGATGCAGACAAACGGACAGACAGAGAGACAAATGGATAGATGGAAGGACAGACGGCGAGCGGGGCAGAGACAGAGGCCAGACACAGTCAGACAACGCAGCGACAACTGCACACACACACATACACACACACACAGACAGAGAAGGAGCCACATGTGGCAATCACGAAACGTAGTGCCGTTACACATACAACAACAAACACACACACACATACTGCGGCAAGAGTGAGAGCGTGGCATACCAGACAGTCTGACGCTGTTGGAGCCCACGTAGAGCGCAGCTACTCAGACTGCAAGTTGTTGTTGTTGTTGCTGGCCAGGTCTCCGTCTGTCTGGACGACCAGCAACAGCAACAGCAACGTCGACAACGACACAGTCTGTGGCAGACCGAGACTATCGAAAACTCGAAATTTATTCGTTGGAAAAAGTTGTATTCAGCTTTTTTCTCTGTTTATTTTATTTTTTTTCTGCGCTCTCTTTTATTTTTATGTTTTTTTTTTGTTGGCTGGTCGCCTGCTGTTGTTGCTGTTGTTGTTTTGATTCTCTTTAGCTCGCAGTCAAAAATGAGTTGCAAAAATGCCCACGAAAATTATGTTAACCAGCAGCAGCTGTGCTCGAGCAAACCCACATCGACATCTTCATAGCAAGTCAACAAACAGTTGCCCCCCCCCCTTGATGAGTGGAGCTGTGCAGCACATAAAAAACACTTCCCCCTCTCAGTAAGTGGAACTAGAGCTGAGCTGTGATTATATACATATAGAGTTGATCACTAATTCATATGGAATTAATAGTAATTAAGAGAAATAACATCTATGAATGAGCTCGATTATTGATTATCGTTTAGCTGATCATTAAAATATTTATATAGATATACTGTGAAGGTCTTGTATATGAAATGAGAGCTAGATGTAGCAGAACTGAAGCAACGGCCAGCGGAATATTGTTTGATGCTTAATGAAGCTTAAATTAAATGAATTGGAATTTAATCAAATCATATTCATTTAAATTTTACAAAACAAAATCATCTTAGGTGTCAAAACCTGAAGAGAATTCAGCAGAATATTAGTCAAATCTCGTCTGTTTTGCATGCTTTTAACGATGTGAGCTTACAGCTTCGCCGACCTTTTACTAGGTTTAACTTTTAAGCCAAAATTAATAGTTCTGAGTTACTCAAAACGCATTTCATATTTTTTTAATTAAATGTAGATATACATATATATTATTATTTATTTATTTCATATTTTATTAATTAAATGTAGATATACATATATATTATTATTTATTTATTTATTGTTATCAAGAATTAATTCTAAATAACAATTTCTTGTTAATCCAGAGCGACAAAGGCCTTCAGGCATACATACATATGTATATAATTCATTGCAATCATTATATCAAAACTAATTTTTATCTCAAGCAAAATAATTTAATTATATCAACAAAAATAAATATATAATATTATCATAATCAGCTGCTTTTTTTTTTTTTTTTTTTTTTTTTTTTTTTTTTTAATGTTTAATTTTTTTTTTTTTTTTTTTTTTTTTTTTTTTATTTGTCAAGTATAACTATTTTTTGAATATTTTTTCATTTATTTATTTTTTCATAGTTATTTATAAAAAATAAATAAATAACTATAAAAAAATAAATAAATGAATCTTTTTTTTAAAATGAAATTTTATATATATTTATATATATTTATTTTTATATGTATAAATATTTATTTTAATGTTATTTTCTATATAATATTTATATTATATTATAATATATAATATTAAATATATAGTTTTCTAAAATTCATTTTATTTTTAGTTTAAAATAATTCAATCAAAAATTTTAATTTCATTAATTTTCAAAAATTTATTTTTATGGATTTGATATATTTATATGTAAATTTATATATTTATATGTATTTTATACATTTTTATATTTATATATATTTATATATTTTCTATATATTTATAAAAAAAAATCAATTTGATCAAATAATTTATTATTTTCTTCATTTATATTTTAATTTATATATATATTTATTAAAAATTAAAATTCGCGTAGAATTATATACATATACGCATACAGATATGTTTATTTATACATTGATCAATATATAGTTCAAGCCCTTTCTGCATTTGTATTTAATATTAATATTACCTACTCACCGTATTTGTGCCAGAAGCTTTGCTTGTTCGCTGAGTTTGTATCGATGTCTGAATCCTCTTCGTATAGCTCTGTATAGAGTATGAATTCGATTCGTGCTGTGGTTGCTGCTGTTGTTGTTGTTGTTGTAGAAGTTGTTGTAGATTGTTGCTGTTGTTGTTGTTGTGGTGTCAAAGGTGATGCGTTGGTCGCTGTTCGGACTGTATCACGATTAAAAATTCGATGCGCAGCGTGCAGAGTGTTGCGTGTTGTTGTTGTTGTTGTTGCTGTTGTTGCTTTTGGCACATGAGGCACAGGCGTTGCCGTTGCAATTGTTGTTGCCGTTTGCGTTGCTTGCAACAATGTAGCACGTTGATTAATTTGATATGGCAGCAACATGGACGCAGGCGAACCGAATGCCGAGGGCCCGATGGCAGTCGAGTGCGACGCGGCGCGACGTTCAAAAGGCGTGGCAAAGGCGAAAACGGGCACCGCGAAATAGGCGCGTGTTGCAACAGTTGACGTTGCCGTTGTCGTTGTCGTTGTTGTTGTTGTTGGTAATTTATTAGGTAAATTTGTGGCTGGCAGCGAATTATGTTTGGGCGACACTTTGCTCTGGCTGCCGTTTATAATTAAATCTAACTTATTATTTGCACTATATACACTGTGCGAAACGCTGAGCGTATCGGCTGCACCACTATATACACTCACAGCACTCACAGCGCTTCCACTTGCGGCGTTTCCAATAGGTTTGCGATATGCTTGCATTGACAATCGGCTGCTCTTGCTCTGCTCGCATGTCCGACAGATTTTGTTCAGGTTGGAGTTTCTCTGGTTGTTGTTGTTGTTGTTGTCCTGCTGCGCCCGCAAGTATGCAATACTCGGCCTTTGGGCATAGTCTGGACTATTGGCGCGTCTGTGCATGGGCACCGCGAGGGCTTGCGCCGACCACAATATGATTGTTGCCAGTAGCGTTAAATTGAACGCTAACCATGTGCCTGTACAGCGGGCCCCCGCGGCGCCTTTGGCTGAATGCGTGGGGGCCACAGCGTCAACTGTATGCGAATTGATAGTTCACTGCACTCGGCGACGGCGACGGCGAACGCAGTGCCACATCAATTGAAGCCCCAACAGACCCAAAGCTGACCCAATGTGCGGCAACTGCAAAAGTTGTACAAGAAAACAAAAGGCGAAAGATGTTAAAAGAAATGAAGAGCGTAAGGGCGAAAGGGTTGACAGAGAAAGGGTGAAAATATTTGCGAGAGATAGATGTAATGGAGACTTGTGTAATGGAGATAATTGTTAACTGTGCTTACTCTCTGCGAATCC